AATTTCAAACCAAAATTGCATGAGCATTTTTCAATAGATGTTTTACAGCTTTCTTTCTGACACCAAAAACCATTTATATAAGTTAGCTATAATTGTTCAGTATCTTGTAGGTGACCATTAAAAACTTGCAGTAGAGAGCTAAAAACTAAAAAACTTCAAATTATTTTCTCATAAACTTTTTGCCTGAAAAAAGTTTCAACTTACATTACTGAAAGCCATCAGCGTCACCTTGCCCAGCTTTCCGTAGGTAATTGAGTAGCGGTTGACGGTGTTCACTGAACACACCAGCCCGGACAGTCTAGTCAGAAAGGACAGGCAAGCTTTCTTCTTTACCGGATACCAGACTTTCATTTTCCGGTCACTCCTTGAGTTGCACTGCTCTGCAGCTATACTGTGAAGCCTTGAAGCAGAGGCATGTGCCCTCTTGGAGACCAGTGCAAAGTAGTAGTGCAGGAAGAAGAGGGCGACAATTTCAAAAATTAAGTACACTGTTATGACCAGGAAGGCAACAAATCCTTTTGAGGTGTTTGAGGTGTTTAAGCTAGTAGGCCTTCTCCACTGAAGCAGTCGAATAGTGAGGTAAACGCTTAGTGGACAGTTGACCAAGAGGAAGGCGGTAAAAGCACTTCCGTAAATGGAATTGTAGGCCGCCAGATGGGCCAACACTGAGGTCCAGTGCTGGTGAAAGGTGTTCACTGAGGCTTGAAAGCCTAAAGAACTCCGTATCACAAGAGTGAAACGATGCAGCTGCTGAAGTTTAGTGAGGAAAATGACCAGCTGGGCGGTGCCGACGATGAAGACGTCGGCGAGCAGTTCGAAGTAAGTGGCAATGTAGAGGTCAATGAGGAGAATGCTGCAGATGTGCGCATAAACGGTGAAAATAATGGTTAGGGTGTTCCAGGTTTTTAGCAGGTCAAAATGGTTGCAAATGTACTGCAGCATTGCGTAGTGCATCAGCGGAAGTACTAAAACTGAATAGCAAAAAATAAATAACTTTAAAAATTAAATTTTGTAAAATTTTTGTTGTTTACCCCAAACTGAGCGCATGTTAAGTCTGACGATGTAGAGAAGTGAGAACAGCCGTTTAATCTTTGTACAGGTGCGCCGCTTTTCGTAGAGGAAAAAGTCGTAGTAAGGTCGGCCCTTGCTGTCCCTCGATTCTTGCTCCTCCAGAATGGCACCGAGCAGAAGGTTATTGGGCGAATTCGGCAGCGAGTAAAATTTGTTCGCCATGTAGGCGAGGCCGCTGGAGCCGGCAATGGCGGCCATGTTGAAGTTGTGGTCGCCGAAGTAGACGAAGATGGCGTCGTAGTGGAGGACAACTCGCCAGAAAAATGTATTTTCATTTTGTTGTCGCTGGCTAGGTGTGGTGGTCACCGAGAGCAGGACAAACTTGGCGCTGATCAGCAGGAGGTAGGCAAGGTACAGGCGGAAGTGCCGTACAGTGGAGCTTCGCCGCTCAATGCACAGCAGATTTATGTAGTGGAGGTATTGTTGAAAGTGCCTTACATTGCAATCGCTAAATCTCCGCTTCAAAGTGGTAAGCATTTTAATCTTTTGTTTGCTTAATTTTTTTGTTTCAATTTTAGTTTTAGTTGGCTTTATGGTAACTGAAAATAATGGAAAAAATTAAGTACAAATTGATTTGTGCAAACAGAATAACATTTAAAGTTTTTAAATTGATTTCGGTGTGAGGTAAAAAAAATTGTAACAACTTACAGTTTTGGCTTAATTAGCAGGCTTTTTTTATTATTGAAAAACAATTGCAAAATGTCGCAAAAATTGAGTACAAAAAGTTTTGAAAACTTTTACCTAAAAACCATCTATCAAATGCTTGTATTTTGTTGTATTGTTTTTTTCAAAAAAAAATAAATTGGAAAAATATTTTTGTTTTTTGGTAGACAGGTATATATAAATCTTGTTTGCCAAGTAATCCGAATCAATAGAAACTGGTGTGGTGGCGGTAGCACAGTGTAAATACAAAAATTACCAACTTTTTACTTTGAAATTATGCGATTTTAGGTTTTAAATTTAAAACAGGTACTGGTGTAAAATGAAGAAAAGAAAGATCATTTGTGAAAAACGAACGAAAATGGTACTACGAGGAATTATAATTTGGTAATCACTAATTAAATAGTAAACATAATTAGGGTGATAAATTAACGTATCTTATGTACAAACTATTTTTATTTTTCTTCTAAAAACGTTGATTATTTTAAAAAATGATTTTTAAAGATTTTTAATTCTTGCATTTAAGCATAATTATTCATGAACTTGCACACCGCTTAAAAAGAGCTCTATCTTACCTTCCGGTTTACTTGGTTTTAAACATTAAAAACGATTTATTTCACCGGTAGACCAAATTTTAAATTAGACATGTTAGTTTAATTTATTTTTTGTGTTTGAAAAGTGGTTAGACAATGAAAAAAAACAAAATATAAAAACATTGAAATTTTAATTGTACAGTATATAGAAAGTCAAGCTACCTTTTTTGAATATTACTCAGCTTTAGTCACCTCAATTTTGGGTGTAATAGCCTTGTTGTTGTTGTGGTTGTTGTTGTTATTTCCATTCACCTCAGCTGCCACCTTCTTCGCCTCCTCGTCCTCACTGTTAATCAACTCAGTGGCACTCATTTTNATCTTGTTTGCCAAGTAATCCGAATCAATAGAAACTGGTGTGGTGGCGGTTGTACTGTGTAAATACACAAATTACTAACTTTTTACATTTAAGTATGCGATTTGAAATTTTTAATTTAAAACAGGTACTGGTGTAAAATGCAAAAAAAGATCATTTGTGAAAAACGAACGAAAATGGTACTACGAGGAATTATAATTTGGCAATCGCTAATTTAATTAGAAATTAAATAGTAAAAATAATTAGTTTGATAAATGAACGTATTTAAAGTACAAACTATTTTTATTTTTTCATTTAAAAACGTTAATTATTTTAAAAAGTGCATTTTTAAAAATTTTTAATTCTTGCATTTAAGCATAATTATTCATAATCTTGCACACCGTTCACTAAAAGAGCTCTAATTACCTTCCGGTTTATTTTATTTTAAACATAAAAAGAGAAATTTACTTCACCTGTTGACCAAGTTTCACTTTTCAATTAGACGTGTTAGTTTTGTGTATTTTTTGTGTTTTTGTGTTTGAAAAGTTATTAGGCAAATGTGAGAAAACAAAATATAAAAATATTGAAATCTTAATTGTACAGTATAAATGGTCAAAAAGCTGTGTCAATTCAGACGCCTTTTTGTAGGTATTACTCAGCTTTTGTGACTTTAATTTTTGGCGTAGTAGCCTTGCTGTGGTTGTTATTGTTATTTCCATTTTCAACCACTTTTTTCGCCTCCTCGTCCTCACTTGTAATCAGCTCAGTGGCACTCATTTTGAATCTTTTTTGGTTTTTTCCACTCCTCCCCACCGTCCAAGCCTTCTTCACCTCGACGACCAGCTTGGCGTGGTCCAGGCGGACGTCCTCCGGGTCGTCCAGCGCCACATTGCGGTAGCCCTCCTCCATGGCGTCAATCGCCAGCATTCGCTGCGCCACCAGAATATTCCGAAAGAGGGAGTTCTGGTCAAAGACGCGGAAGCGCAGGAAGACCAGCGGCAGGTGGGCGGCGTCAAAGGTGAAGCTGAACTCGCGGTTCCACTCGGGGTTGAGGCCTAAAAAGATATCTTTTTTAATTTAAAAACTTTATTAGTTTCAAGGTCCTTACCATTGTTATCCACCGTCTTCGTCCTCCTTCTCACGCGGTAGTACTTCTTCACGCCAAAAAGGCGAAGCTCCACAAAGGGGTCCAGAATGTCGCCGCAGCCTCTAATGGCGGGCAGATTAAAGCCACAGAGCACCCGAACTGTGACCGTCAACTGCCGCGCCCCTTTCACCTCTTTAGCCCGCAGGAGAATCGGTTCCGGTTTCAGCACATAACCACAAGAGCCATTTCGGGCAAAAAGCGCCCGATTGAGGAGCATCGGATTGCCCGCAGTTTGGTAATTGAGAGCGACCAGCTGGGCCCCCGCCCGCCA